AGAAGAGAGTAGAAGAACAAAAGCAGATCTTACAGAAAAAAATTCGGGAGAGTAGATAATTGGAAAATTATTTGTTTTTGATTGAACTTGGGAACAAGTTCCCATACTTGTTGAGAGTATGGGGGAAGCTGAGCAAAACATGGAACAAGTACGTAGCCTTTCATATAGGCTCATCAATATTACTTTATTCTACCGATACGGATAAGGTGAGAATAACGCCTCTAGCCCCGATCATAAGTGCTCGTAAATCAGAAACCAGTTGTGTGCTTTCGTTTCTCTCGCACGTGAGAACAATGGTAAGTCATAGAACAAAGGTAAGCCATGGTCGGGCGAGTTGCTTTGTGCCTTGTTGATTGCTAGCATCATTTCGTTCGAAAATCGAGAGTTAGAGCTTTTTTGCAAAAGCTCAAAAGCATGTTGTAGCATCAGCGAAGGTGCACTATTACGGATGCGAAACCCCCAGAAAACAATACGATTTTGTGGGCTCTGTAGCCATGTACTACTTACCAAATTAGGTAAGCTACCGTAATATCATCATTAATATTCAGTCTTCTTGTGGTCTACCGAACTGAAGGCATGAATGACTGCACTTAATCAAGACATAAGCCTCCCAATCCTCACACTGTAGACCCTAGATAGTGCCAAGACCCATAAGGCCTATCGTAAGCAATCGACTCAATGATTACAGAGGGGATTTAGAAAAAATCGAAGAAAAATTAGAAAATACTCGCTCGATGGAATAAAGATTCTGACACAGACTATGTCTAGCGCATGGGCAAGCATCATCTTCTTCATTCTCACTCTCATCTTCCTATTTCCCGAATTATTCCGGGTAGCAAGGCTGCGCCCAGAATTTGCGGTACGAGTTTCAAATCAGCGCCGTGCCAGCTCCGCTGATGTATCGATATGAAATTCCACATAGGCGCTGACTTCGGCGCTGGCACGGTTCTAGCACGGCGCTGGCATGGCGCTAACACATGGGCAACTCTGAACGCAGCCTTTGGAGCAAGCAAATAGCGTATGGCCCCATGATTAGATGTAGCAAGATAGATTTGCAAATATTTATTTACTTCTTCATTTGTTTATTTATTTATTTTAAGCATAAGAGGTGAGCCGAAAATCAAGACTCACATACCTGTCTTCACATCCATCCTAACCGTTTCCTTTCTAGTTCCCCCCCCCCCTTTTTTTTTACCTCCCTTCCACCACTTTCTTCCCTCCCCCCCCCCCCTCCCCTCGTCCCGCCCATCCTTCCTACCATTCTCGCTTTAAAAATTATTTGTTAGATGATGCAATGCACTCTAGGTGACTAAAGTCAAGAGAAGTTACCTGTTGATGTGACCAAAGTCTCAGGACAAACAGGAAAAAATAAAAAAATTCCAATCCAGTTTCTACCAAAGGATGTCATTACATATACGATTATTTTGTCACAGAACAAGTGCAGGTAGCAGAGATAATAACATATTAATGGTATGATGCTATCATAAGTTTCCGGATGCACAGCTGCATTGTTTGCACCCAAAAGTGACTCATCTAGAGATAAAAAAGGGCAATGATCGGCATAAGAGGGATCGTCAAACAGTTTTTATTACCAGCCATGGATAATGCAGTAATCGGATAGTACACCGAACAAGATTATAGAAACAATAGCAGTGATGCTGATAGTGAATGGCAAAAAATTAGATCATGTCCAAAATCTCACGATATTTGGTTACTGTATTTCTTCGGCAACGATATTGTTCACAGTCTTACTGTAGATAGTGCAGAAATGAGGTGGTAGATCAAAAGTGATGGCAAAACTAAAGTAATCCTGACATAAGTAGATTGTGCTTCTGATAATCTAGCTCCAGTTCTATACATCTGCTTAGTAGCTGAAAAGGTCGGATTATGGTGAAGTTGTATATTTTCGACAATATTTGAGCGTCGATCAAATTCACTAGAAAACAGAAGAAAACTTGAGTAGACTTATGCCCTCAAAACTCGTTGTTTTCAGAACAAGACTACTGGTAAGAAAGAGAAAGAGGGAACGGAGTCGGGTCTATAAATTAGCTGAATGGACGAGTATTCTCGAGAGTGAATTGAGTCAAATTAGTCGGGTTAGACATAACAATTCTTGCATAAAAACCTGCTCGTGTAGGTGAATGAGTGACACATGAGGCAATTTGCATCAGATGTGGCGCAAAATAAGAGAATTTCTAGCTATTGTGCAAAATAAAAGATTCTAGCTGTGCAGCATAAGAACTCTTGTTCCAGCTCTGGGGCGAAGTAAGAAAAATTCTCGAGTGATGAAAAGAAAGTTTTTGGAGCGGTGCAAGAGAAGAGACTTTCAGCTGTGATATGGAAAGCGAAAATTTCAACTTTAAGAAAAGTCTATCTGCGACGCGAAGTAGGAAAGATTCTAGCTTTAGTGCAGAAAAGGAAATTTTCAGGTACTGCAATTTGAGGATTTTAGTGTGATGCAAAAGAAGGTTCTAGGTTCGTTGTGAAAAAAAAATTCTCTGGCTGTGATGCAGGATCAGGAAATTCCCAGCTGGAAAGCAGATAAGAAAATTTCTAGTTACTAAAAGGATAAGAATTAGCAAATGGACTGCAAAACGAAGAAAATTTCTACGTGTAACGCAAGATAAGCAAATTTCCAAGCGTGATACAAAACAAGAAAATTTCTAGCTGGGCTGCAAAAAAATTCTTGGACCAATGAGAAAAGAAAATTTCGAAGGGAATGCAAAATGAAAGAAAATTTTCGATCAAAATTGATGCAAAATGAAGAAATTTTCGACCACTGTACTTAAAAAGTTTCTAGCTACGATGCAAAGTAAAAATTACCTAAAAGGTTTATATACCCTCACCCCACTAGTCGGTCGGTGGACGAATTCAAATTTGAATTGGAGCAGGCCTGTCACGGCAGAGCGCGGCAGGAGACAACGCTCAGCAATTACAAAAACTCAATATAGGTCAAAAACGTAACAATACAAAAACTGCTAAGCAATGGCGAAGGAATACGCAAAGTGAATGCGTGAATTTGAACGGAGAGCTAAGGTGCCGTGCTCTGCCGCGACCTGCCTGCTCCAATTCGAATTCGAATTCGTCCACCGACCGACTAGTGGGGTGAGGACGACTATAGTTGTGTCAGCAAATCAGAAGAATTCTCTAATTGTGGTGCAAAACAAGAAAATCAATTTTTTAGCTGAGTAGCGAATAAGAAAAACTTCAAGCTATTATTTAAGGATCTTTTAGTCTAACACGAGGCAAATTTCGATAGACGACTTTCAGAAAACTATACAGAGCTCTCTTTTCGACTTCTCCCATCATTATTGCACTCTGGGAGAGCTGACTCATACCATAATCATAGCATTCCGAACGTGAAACATCCACTGATCTCGCCTACGTGGTCGTAATTGCGGGACGAGTCATCGAAAAAAGCGCTAGAGAATATTTTTAGCCTTGAACCGTAGATGAACGAAAATTTTTGCTTTTTGGGGCCATCTAGGTGCGAACGTTCACAATGAAGCAATTCCTAGAACAAAAATGATTGCTTATGGATTTTATGGGTCAAAAGGGACAATCCAACTCCCTTTGCAGTATGATCTGTGGAAAAAACGTTTCGATCCCTATATAAGCCCATTCGCACTGGGAAAAAAGTGAACAATCTCATAAAAACAAACAAAAGCGAACACAGAAGACACATAACACAGCAAAGCAAGGTCAGTCGGCGCAAATTTTTAGTTCTATGGGCCGTAAAAGAAAGCGGCAGCAATAGCCTAGAAGATGCCGAAGAGAGCATAACTCAAACATTCCTTGATTGCTATCAGTTGTGTGGGTGTGGGCATTTGATCAGAACAAATAATGAATGGACTTGTTTTGAATGTCCTAAGCCTATTAGTGGTACCTAACAAACAATATCGCTGGGACATATTTTGCATTATGGGTATTTTACGTCAGAAATCAGAGACATTGGGTCAATATTTTGGAATTCGATTGTCTAGATTGTTCGGACAGCATGGCAGCTTTTTTGTTTGTTTTCCATTTCAATGATTGTGTACAAAAAGTGCGTCCATATTTGTGTAAATTGAGTAAAAATAATTGAATATAATAATAATAATATAATAATATAATAATCGAAAACAATAATAATATAATATATAATAATTGAATATAATAATAATATATCGTGTATGGCTCAAGAAGAAAGAACAAAATAAGCAAAAATAGTTTTTTTTTGAAAAAAAAGGTTTCGAAACGCTCACAATTAACTACATATTGCATCACAACTGCTCTAAAGTCCAAAACGTTCAGCTCCCAATTGAGAAAACAATCAAGTATTTTTAGATTGGGAGATACTCCATCTAGAGCGGTTCCGCGAAATTTTTTCAGTTTTGTATAAACTATAATTATTTTCTGATGAACATTGAGATAAGGTCATTCCTGCAAAATTGCTTCGACACCCGGCTCCCATATTTTCACAGCTACTATTTTCTAGCTCACCTCTGATAAAGAACTTACTTTCTCAATCCTAGTAGCTACCATGACTCTGTTTTCGAATTCTGGGTTCAGATGGATGAAAATTAAAAGCTGATTTACAAAATGATATCTTTATCTGTCAACTTTACTCAACCGTTTGGGGAAAACATTATAATAGAAATGTTCCGAATATTGTCTAAATTTTTTTCAAAATGCTGGAATCGGAAAATAAACAACAACAAAGTAAGTTTGCGAAAGGATTTCTTATTAAAGCTGATCTCTCATCTTCGCAAGAAATAAAGACTATAAGAGCAAAATATGAATCGTGAAGTCTATAGTGGCATATAATTATGAGCTTTCAGTGATCCTGAAAATGGCATCTTTGGCAAAAAAAAAACGCAAATTTCATCCACACGCTCAAAATCCTACAACTCAAAGCTTCACTTACATAGCCTTTGCTCTTTTTTCAATATGGCCGATCTCTAGCGAACCTTACAAGAAGCGTATAAGGTAGTAACCAAAGTAGCAATCCGCAAACTCACCCAAGCCACTCGTTCCAACGTTCCTCCTGGTTGCCTTGGCACGTATTTCTTATTACGTCGAACTAACACTGCGGAATGAACTCCTTGAGAATTATTTGCTATCTGAAAATGTATCGATCAAGACAGAAAACTTCTGAGAACCTTAAGAATTCCAAGAATACCAAAGAAGAGTTCGTACATCATTTTGAGGACTCAGAACTCCAATTTCGATGTGTAAGAAGATTAGGAGGAGTGGATGCCTTTCTTATCTAGCGTCAACATGTAGTTTCTTTGGGAATTCTTATTTTATTAAAGTTATATGACGCAGGATAGATTACTAGTAAAAATAATTAAAAATTATTAAGATAAATACAAAGTCTTTATAAGGTCGATAGCTTTCATTCGAACATTTTCTGCGAAATTACTGCCTATCTCAAAATTTTATTTAAGTAATAAGTTCATGTTTTTATCGATAAAAAAGTAAAGATAGAAAACGGAAGCTGACATCGGAAACTAACTATAAAACGGACTTGATGCTGAGATGAAAAATTCGAAAACATTGATAAACTACGTCGAGCGCGTAGCGGTTACAGTTCCCATTCCGTCAATTTCGCTGTAGTGCATTCACACCTTCTTTCGCGTTTAGTGAATAAATGATGCTGGAATGTGATGTTAAACTAGAGGAACTGCTAAAAATTATGCAACAAATCAACAAATTCATTCAATTATTATACTTTTAGGTTTTGAAGGAGACACGGCCGAAAATGTAGATTCAGTTAGTCTGATACCGAGTTTCTGTGAAGCTTCTTTTGATTGAAAAAAAATGTCAAGAAATAGCAAAGGCCATGATTCAGGAATCATCCGCTGAACAATTGTGAACTGATAGCATCCGCCCAAATAATGGCATTGCTGGATTTTCAGGAATTTTGGGGTCGAAGCGCATTCATTCGTGCGCAAAAGAACGGAAACAAAATGTCGATGTTATGATACACATTCACATAGCCAGAGAACGACCCTATACGACCCTGACCGCACTATCGAAATGTAGAAATTGACAAAGCATGATTACTCCAAAATGCAAAAGTGAGTCATGATCGACTCCTGGAAATGATATTTTGCAAATCGAGTATGAGGAAACCGGTTTCGGGAGCAGTGAGTGACACCAAAGTTCCATTGCTCGTATTAGGAGTGAGTTATCAGAGTTAAACCATTGTTTTGCAGGAGAAGTGGTTAAGTTACCGTCTGCAGTTGAACGTTTTCGATCTCTCGAAAACAATTGAGATAAAACTTGTTGACAAATGTGTGTTGACAACGAGTAGCACACGACGACAAGCGAGAAATTAATTGAACATGAAAGTGAGTGTAAAGTTACACACTTTATGCCAATCAATCTAGCTAATAAAATATGCTTTTTTACTCTTAAAGTGTAAATGACTATAGAAAATGTTTTCTGTTTGATTGTCATCATTCAGCCATGTCATATTAGGCAATCCATGAACGACGATCTCGAAATTCGTAAAAAGACTATGACAAGGTCCAAGTTGCTACAGTATGCTAATTCTGCGTGGAAGCAAAATGAAATGCCAGGTGCATTCGCCTTCATGAAAAGTCGCAAGATCTGGAGAGTGTATAAAAGCGCAAAAGATTGGTTTTCTAATTTTTCATTAGTTTTTCGAGGGAGCATTACGTCACCACTTCAGCATTTTGGGCAATTCTCGTTCTCCATGATTGAAAAGCGCAAAAGTTGTAAGCTCCAAACAGGATGGAATTGATAGAACTTTCTGAACATGATTTTTGTTTCTCGACGTTTTGTTGACTATTATGAAGTACTCAAAGTACTACAATATTAATGGCAGTTCAAAAAAAAATCAATGCATTTCACACAATTTTCATCAATTTTTTGTGAGAACAAGAAAATGATCAAAATCCGCTCTTAAATAGGTAAATGACAGATTTCAAAAGTCTCATAACTTTGAAATAACTTTTACAGCCGCGACTATGAATTTGCAAAACAGCTTGCACTTTTCATGGCTCCCGATGTAAAAACTTGGAAGCTAACATTCTGGCTCAACCGAAAACCCTTAAATTTTCCAGGCGAGCAGTGAGCTGCGAAATATACAAAAGTGCGAGAACATTGCGGAAATTGTTTGAGTTTACATTACGCATGATTTATAACTCAAAGTGGCAACTGGCCATCCACGAATTTCTGCAACAAAACTAAATTTCCTACATGGGGAGATGTATGGGCATACATTAAGGTACGTCTTGAATGATTATCTAAGTACGTAAAAAAAGTAACTGCACATTGCCTCTCCCCTAAAACTAGCATTACGTCCGCGCACGAAAATTAACTTTACTATGCCTGAAAAGTTTTAATTGGTAGGACTTCATTTTTGGTTCAAGATTTTACACTGATTTTACACTTGCACTGATTTAATTCCCCTTTTCCTATTCCCGAAAATGATGTAATTCCCCTCTATTGACGTGAAAACCAATTTTATGTGCATTTTGTAAATAACCTATTGATTTCCAATTTCCAAGGCTATCGTCGTAAAAAAAATGCTTGCTCAAAGTCTTTTTTCATTTCGATTTTTTTTTGAAAATTATGTCGATCAGGGTAAGGAAAAATAACCCAAACTTTTGATATGTATAACAAAATTCCGAAAAAAGAAGTAGATTTTGCAAACAGACCTTTCGTGGTCCCGAAAATGTGATGACCTCACGTTTGCGTGGCAAAGTTGTGACTCCGGGGTTGGCTAATGGAGACACAGCGGCATGATTCAGCTCGAGCGAAGAAGAGCCGAGTTCTGAATGAGGGAATGTATGAGGCGAGGATTTGCAGCGGAGGGGTGAAAAACGCTCATCGAACTGATGAGGACTTGTTCAGCTGTACATCTGCACTGTTGGTGGCATGATTGGTCTCGCAAAGAAAGCGACAGAAACAGGGATGTTAAGGCAAATTAGAAATCTGTGATTGGAAACAGAGGAAATAGAGATGGTTAACTGTACGCGCACTATCGCAAATCCTATGTTTACACTCTAGCTGAAGATAAGTCCTTGTTTATGAGTCGAAATTTGCATAAACCGCGCATGAGCCCTAGCGCTACCGTAATCCGCTACCGTAATCCGCGTAAGTACAGAGAGTAAAGCTAATAACTACAATGTGAGCGTTGCATACATGAATGAGAATAGTTCAAAACGTGTTTGCGAGAACATCGAGCAGCAAACGTGACTTCTCTCTACTAACCTAAAACTGGAGAGTGAAGGTGAAGTGTATGTCAACTTTTGTAACGATGAAGAAAAACTATCAAAAACTGCTATCGAAGAGACAAAAACGCCATCGATGACAGCATCTGCAGCTGGTTCAATGTGAATGGAATTGACAGATGAGCAAAAGAAGTGCATGTTTCGTTGGAGCGAATAGAATCGACTAGCAAGAGGACTGTGCTTGGGAGAAGTGTGTACGAAAAGTTCGAAAAAATTATTCTTAGTAAATTATTCAATTCTAAGAGCAGGGCACAGCACGAGGTGGCTTTACGTATGCAAAAAACGAAGTACCACTGACCTCCGCAAAATTTTACGAAGTCCCCTTTGACCAGAATTCGGAAACGTCGACTAAAACAAACCTAACCTAACTTAAGTTTTTTCAGACGCTGAAGCGATATCCCCCTTCGCTTTTTGTTCCCTAAACGATATCCAGCTTGATTTTAAGCTACCTGTGCCGACGGTGTTTAGGAGACTTAAGGATAGCTGAGTGGCTTCGAAAATAAATAAAGAAATAAGTTCATGCATTCCTTTTAATATTAGGTTGTCTCATAATTAATGCACGTTTTTATTTGCTTGCTTTAACAAAGCAACCAGACTCAACCCAATAAAGGGTAAGGGGTACCGTCCGATAGAGCAAAGCAAGCTCTACAAGATGGCATTCATGTCTTTGCGCCATGCTCGATCCACGGAGAGTTCGAATTTAAAATCTAAAAATTTCCAAATGCCCAAAAAATCGAAAAAAATCAGATCTTCGTCCAAATAATTTCTACGGACCTCCCACTCGCTCACATTAATACTATCGATATCTGATATCCATATGTGCGATTGCCGTATCTTTTCCTTGACTAGAAACTGAGAAAACGAAAATTTCCCTGATTTTCTCAAAGCAATGCTGAGCCGTTTTTGCATATGTAGTTCTATACTACAAGCCTAGGTAAGCATGACTGTAGGTTTTCAGCCTATTTCGAGCGGTACTTTTCGAGAAATGTCGATTTTAGCACTGAAACTGAAACGAAAAAATCCGAATTTTTTATTTTTCGAAAACTACCGCTTGGAATGGGCTGAAAACCTACAGTTATGCTAACCTAGGCTTGTAGTATAGAACTACATATGCAAAAACGGCTCAACATTGCTTTGAGAAAATCAGGGAAATTTTCGTTTTCTCAGTTTCTAGTCAAGTAAAAGATACGGCAATCGCACATATGGATATCAGATATCGATAGTATTAATGTGAGCGAGTGGGAGGTCCGTAGAAATTATTTGGACGAAGATCTGATTTTTTTCGATTTTTTGGGCATTCGGAAATCTTTAGATTTTGGGTTCGAACTCTCCGTGGATCGAGCATGGCGCAAAGACATGAGTGCCATCTTGTAGAGCTTGCTTTGCTCTATCGGATGGTACCCCTTACCCTTTGTTGGGTTGAGTCTGGTTGCTTTGTTAAAGCACGCAAATAAAAACGTGCATTAATTATGAGACAACCTAATATTTCCAGGTCATCTCTTCAAATATAATAACCAATTCGGATACGCTGACTTTGATGTAAGATGAACTTCCCGCGATAAATCTTGCATTTTGGTCGTTTTCGCTTTTTACCTTCTCCTTCTAGTAACAACTTTTTATCAGTCTTCTCAATCCACATATTCTTTATGGGCTAATATTTTCATTACGATTGATTCAAAATTGACGTCTGCATTACTGACAGGATCTCGTGGAAAATCTAAGTCAAATAATGCATCCATCAATCTTTAATTGATGAATGTATCAATTTTGTTTACGCGTCCGCAACGATGTCAAGGCAAGCAAATATTCTGAACACCAAAAAATTCGGTAGTTGTGAAAGATCTGCGCAAAATGCAATGAAGAACTGAAATCAGTCAAAGATCCATGAGCATTAAAACGAAAGTAGACTAGAAGTATTCGAGTTAAGGGCCTGAACACTAAAATTTCGCAGAATTTGCCATGTAAGTGTGTCAAAAAATGGTGAATAGTCACAATGTTAGAATTTTACCAAGGTGCAAAACGTAATAATCATCAAGAAATCCATTACGTTTTCTCCTTAGAAAAAAAACTATTTAGGTTTCAGAAATATATCTAATATCAGTGACAGTAAGAATTTTTGCGAGGGGGAGGGGCCACAACAGAATCAGATCCGAAAAAAAAAGTTTGATTGCGTTCCATTACGCGATTTTATAATCCTGAATTAATAAAAAAAAAGGCGGCAGCTGTGTTTCAAAAAAGATTCAATGGTTATGATTTATTTTTTATGAAACTTATGGATAAATGTAGTAGAAAAAATTACTAGCACGACTTTGTAGCTTATACTCCCCCCCCCCCCCTCAGCCTGCAACTGATCCATAATGTTAACAGATTTATAGGAACATTTCTACTAATAACACTTTGTATGAAGGAACAAAACTAGTTCTCTATTGATCTTAATTTTAAGATTGTAGACCATCTACAAAAAGTCGAGTTCATGCCAAAACTATCATAATAAATTACAACTCTAGCATGTTTTATGCTAACCATAGATCAAGATCACGAAAATCCGAAGGGTTGCCGATTCAAAGTTCTGGACATTTTTATTTTAGCATAAAATATAACAGTTCTGTAAAAATCTAAGGTTTAAGTTGAACAAGAACGTTCGAATGACTTCTGCAAGAAGATACGATATCACTGAGAGAAGAATTTCAGATAATCTTCAGGATTAAGCCCGCAACGTTGCTCCAATCGCTTTGCTTCGTTCCCAACCAGTAACACCGCTTAAAAAATGTCTGCTTAACAGCGCTAAGCAAGGCTTGATGCGACAAAAAATGGCACAGTTATCCCACTGCTGATAGGATTTGCGTTTTTGTTTACAAAGCAGTGTAATCCATTAAGAGTTTTGCCGTTTTCCACACGAATTCCGCCTCTAAAAATAACAAATTGTCATGGCAATAAAAACCCGTGTGTGTGCAAAGTAAAAGTTGTAGCGCAACCAAATGGCCTCCAGTCTCTTACTTAGCAACCGTTTCTATGGTCTGAATGTGGGAGGGAAGGGAAATAGAGGCTATTAAAAGCATTTTATAGCACCAATAGCATTTCTGGAAACATCTTTCTGAAATGGACTGGCATTTTGCCAAAAAAAGGACGCATGTAAGCCAAGCTTTCCAAAAATTTTGTGAAATCATAAGAAATCTTAGCTGCTATCATATACATTACAAAAACTTCGGAGAGATGGTACAATATTTTGTGTTTCCCTTATTCCTCCCCCCCCCCCCCCACCTATACCTTCCTCTTCCTACCGCATGTGCTATGTTACGTGAGTGAATGCAAAAGTTTTCTAAAAAATAATTTGCACTACTATTTGGGAAAAATTAGAGATTTGTAGAAAGGAATGGGAAGAATCAGAAGAGACATTGACGAATGATTCGACATGAAAAAGGCGCATTTTCTTTTGCAAAAAACCAAAAAAGAAATTTGAAAGCGAAAAAAAAAGGTAATTGAAATGAAGAAGGGCACATGACAAACAAAATGCTACAAAATGCAAAATAACAAAATAAAATTGTTTCATTATTTTTACAAAAAACGTAAAATAATAATAAGAGTGATAGAATTTGAAAAAATAGTGAAGCATTCGAATGCGAGATAATTTCAAAAAATTTGACTAAACGTCCTTCGAATTTTTCGTTTTGTCCCTTGGCCATAGACTAGATGTGTTTTTGCTTAAATATTGGGAGGGAAGTCATAGATCGAGAGATTCATCACATAGAAATTCGATGATCTAATTAGGGATAAAGTATGAACATTTCAGAGATTTAGATTCAAAGCAAAAATAGCGAAAAGTCAACTTGTCAAATTTGAAAATGCAATGAAATGTGAAAAGCAGTGGAAGGCAATTCTGTCTAATGGAGCAAATCATGAATGTCAGAGGTTTTCGTCAAAAGTCACAAATCCAGAAACAGGAATTGAATAGACATAAGATAAGAAATGTTCGACGAGAGCAAAATAAGCAGAACAGAGACGGAAAATGGTGTCTTGCTGCATGACTTTGAAAACCATTTTAGACGCAAACCAGCTGGGCGAGAGGCCGCGGATATGGGGAAAATTCGAAAATGCAAAATAGATTCGATTTGGAATGGAATGAACGAATTGTTGAAGTTCTAATATATATGAAATTTTTAAAATAGCTAACCTTTACTAAGCGCACGATCGCGATATGTTCTCGCGTCGATGTTCTGCACGTGAGCGCAGAGTGGATGTCGTGATACGTCAGCAGTCGCCAGGTTGTGAGAGCTGAAAAATATATTTTTGATGTCACAATAATAAAAATGGCATTACGGGATAAAAGCGAGGTAAGATATATATTTAACTAAAAAGTGTCATTCACGTACATACATTTAATTCAACGGGATTGGCGGGTGGAAGGCAGAGGTTTCGAGGATTCAGGGCCAGTGAATGAGCGCACTCGCGAGAGAGACGCCGACTGCGTTGCGGTGCGAGCGGTCGCCTTTCGGCCACCAATCCCGTTGAATCAATGGGTATGCTATCTGGGCTATCAACCAACCAGCTCCTCCATAAGGTGCATTTGTGAGTTCTATGAAACGGGAATTGTACGATAGAATGATCTTGACTGAATAAACAAATTTACCTCGAAAAAATACACGTTAACAACTCACGATAAACCCTTTTAGGAGGATTAACCCAAAGTGGAAATACCGAACAAATATTTACATATAATGTGCATTGAGGAAATTTGTCAACATTGAAAGTTATAGAAAAGTTGGTCAAAAAATTGTCATTTGCCTGCGAAAAAAATTATGAGAATTAGAATACTTCACATAATTCTACAAGAAAGAATTTTAAAAATTTTGTAGGAGAAAAGATATGACTAAATGAAAAATAAATCAAGAAGTAATAAATAATCATTAAAAATATTCACTTTATGGAACGTCTTGATATATATTTTGATGGCACTTCATAAAAGCAGGTATGAAATATTTGCAGCTTGTCATAAAGACATCAATTGAACTCAACAGGATTACCAAAATTTTTTGAGGGCGGTAGGATGGGGGGGGGAGGGAAACTGCGATAGAAAGCCACACTCTTAGCACAATATAATGACACCAGTGCGTCACCTCTGCTTCGCAGAGGTTCGCACTGGCTCTACTATCCATGCCTTCTTCGTGATCGCATAATAATGACTTTGAAACTCACCGCGCGATGCTGAACATCACGAATGAACTGTAAACAACCATTCATTTTTAGAGCTTTTCCATGTGAGATCGGTAATTTTAGCAGGAAAATTTTCCCGCAGAAAAACAAATGGGAATGGGTTACTGAATTTATTATGGCTTTATAGTCGCCATAAGGATAAAGACCACCCTGGGCTACATATCTACTCAAAGCAAATCGACAATTTGCTCAGTTACATCTTTTTGGCGCAATTTCGTGTAAAAATAGACTTTTTGCTTACTTTTTAAGCTGAAGTCAATGTTTTTTGGATTCACTTGCTAAACAAATCCAAGACTTTGCAAAAGGTCCAATTACCGACCCATTTTGGCAGGCCAAAAGTTGCGTGGATCCGTTTGACGCACAGTTTTTGATAGTTCCACTTACTGGATCGGCTTGTGGTTTTGCACAGTTTACCTACACGCTGACTGGGTGCTATGACCAAAATTCTAGATCAAAACGCTGGCTGCAACTCACTCTGTGAATTTCGTGACAGACAGACATACACACAGACAGACAGACGCTTAGCGCTTTATTATAAGTCATAATGGTTCGCAGCTTTTGTGCGAGCTTGTAACTATGGTTTCGAGGAAAGGAAACAGCCCTAAGTTGTACTCAAGAAACCGTTAAAGCTGATTCTCATTCGTGCAGTCAGAAATAGATCCTTCAATTTGAGAAGTAAAAAAAAGTCGCAGTAGTTTGTAGCTCATATAGACCAGTTATGCAAAATAAGTCTAATATATTATATTTATCCTTCCTATTACAAAACCTTTGAAGTTCAAAGGCAAAAAAAAACACTCTAAAATTGAATGCAGCTATTGCAAGACCATTTATACAAGTTTTCTTGCAAACTAAAAATGTGCTCAATTCGCTGAGGAGTATTGAATGCCGGACATTTATTTGCTAAACTCATCATTGCCCGGAAATTTCTGTATTAGTTCTCTGAAGTGCCCTTAATTCCGAAAAAGGCTGACGAGTTTACAAATTAATGTACATAGTCTGCAATATTACGCTTTGATGTATTACCAAATGGAAAAATATTGGTAATCAAAGACTAGGTTGTCTTCCACAAAGCTCTTAGACTTCAATGGCTGAATATAGCCAGAACAGACGTAAGAGGAAGAATGCGAATGACGATAAGAATTTATAGTCGTATTCGTCCACGAAAAATCACGGATGTGTGATTAAATCACAATTGAGCACAATTGTCGATAGGTCATTTTTTATAAGGAAACACGCGCAGAAAATACCGGATTTCCAGTGAAAATGTTTAATGTGACGCGCAAAGGTTTCTGGTCATCGTCGCGTGCCTCGGTAAACAACTGCTGAAAGGATATTACTGGAATTCCAAAGGTGTAGAAGAACAGGACGTGCTTATGGGAAAGTAGATTGTTCCACTCAACCCCCCCCCCCCTCCCCCCTCCTTGTTTTCGGATCCTTTCTTGACTTGACTGTTGCTTGAAATTTGAAATGTGCATTTCTGACAAAGGATTACGTCGATTATAGCCAAATCCCGAAATTTGCCAGATTCACGGAATTTTGCGGAATTTATAGGAGTGCGTGATCCGCGTGAATTGAACAGAACTTCTGGTGGAGCAGATGCATTTTAAAACTACAAGCGGATTTGGACATAATTCGATGAGGCGAACCTTTTGGTACACAACGTGATCGTAGCCCATGCGGGAGGGTAGGATACTTGGTAGAAGATGATTGTTGTGTTGATGTTTAAAACACGGGAGTTACACCTTCACGAATACAACATTACAGGCAACTATCAAGTCTTGATATGCCTATTTTATCACCATGTATTTGGGTCAAATTTTACAACAAAAATTCACCTCACCGAGCTCACAAAAAACTAACTCCTAGGGTTTCATTTGCAAACACCAACATACTTTCTCAATCGAATTTTTTTCTGGGGGGTGTAAAATTATATAAAAAAACATAATAAAAATGAATTAACTGTTCTTATAATGCTGAAAATCCGCTTTCAAACCTGGAAAATATATGCTCTACTAGAAAATATGGCCGAATCCCGCAAATCTCGTGGATCACGCGAATCTCATAAATCTCATCTAAGACATTCTGACGCTTAAAGTATAGGTCAAGTCTTGAAAATGTATGCTTTATCGGAAGATGTGGCTAAATATCTCGCAAATCCGCAAATCTTGGGATTCTGCAAGAATGAACGTAGCATTGTTGCAACTTTATGATGTGAAAATCTGGCAGTTTAGTTTTGAGATTAAAAAAATAACCCATGAGTTTTAAAATATTTTAACCCTTAGAACATCAGGCAACTCGGAAATGTATGCTCTATCGGGATGTGGCCAAATTCCGCAATAGCACGCAGATCCCGCAAATCTCGCGAATCGCGCAAAAATGGACGTATTGAGTTGTCACAACTGTTTTAGGGAATTGGGTTCACGTTCAAAGCAAAAACCCATAGAAAATTTCTAGAAAGCTTTGACCTTTAGAACAGCAATACGAGGCGAACGAGGTGGTTGACCTCTGTGAGCAAAGCGATAACTCGGACAATCACAAACCGTACGACTCGGCTATTGTTGACAGACTGGACATCGAGCGGCCCCTATGCCATCAAAGAGAAGATTATTCGATCACGCATTTCACTTTGCGCTCGGAGGTTAAGCACTTGAATGGGGAAATATGGGCAAACGCGCAGGAAATCGGGAAACTGGCGAAAGTTGTTAACCTTTCACGCGAAGGTTTTCCGCGAAAATCCAGTGTGCAAAAGATCTAAGACCGGTTCTTTAGGAAAGGTTGGACTGGGTTAAAAGCGAAGACATTAGTGACGAAAACTAATGAATCAGGTAAGGAACGAACTAAAATGTTGTTGTTTCTGACAAATCATAAGACACGCAATAAATTCAGCGAACTTGACTAAAACTGGTTACTAAACATTTTCTCCAAAACAATGAAGTATTGTATGAATTGTGAATCGAGCCCGATCGGTGTCAAGACCACCATATCCAGAATCGTGCGGCATAGAAAAACTGGCCCATTGTCGTGAGATCAAAACCGGAAGCTACGGATTGAGGATTGTCGAGCGTACATTCGCACGAATGAGGCCTAGCGCGAGAGGAGATATCCATCGAGAACACAGCTCTAACAGGCGATCCTCAGCCAGAACAGGATATCGTGGATTTTTGGACAAGTTCCAAAATTTTTTGGACGGGGTGGGGGAAAGAGAAGAGGGGAGGCAGCGCAAAGCTATGATTACTACACTCTGTGTTACGTAATGGAGTTTGCTGGAGGACTGAAATTCCACCATCTGGGGGAGTAACATCGGAAAATGCGAATAGATAAAAAGATAAGGAGAAGGGCAGTCATGATGTAAACGAAAACTCCTCAGTGCACTCAAAGAAGATGGTCAGTCGGTGTAGATAAGATCAACCTTGAACTAGGCTACTCAAGGAGGGGCGGAGACCGGGGAAGGAGGGGGGGGGGGGGGGGGTGGAAAAGAAATGGAAGGGACTAAAGAAGGAAAATATTATTTTTAAGCTTTCTATTAGTATCTTTTTTTCAATCAATCGCAATTACAATACCGCTCACATTTTTTGAAAAAAAGACGCGAATGTATGGACATGTATGGACATGTCCATACATGTATGGACATGTCCGTACATGTCTATACATGTCCATACATTCGCGTCTTTTTTTCAAAAAATGTGAGCGGTATTGTACCTCCTGCCCACATAGAAATTCCTTCACATTTTTACCGCCATGTCTTCCTTTCTCCAGCGAGAACCTATCAAGGTCAAAAGTCTTATTTTTCGTTTGGAATTTTCGACAAAAAAAAAGAAAACCACAGCAGTTTGTGCGTCTTCTTGGAAGAACAAGACACAAACATGATATTAGGTTGTCAAGAAAATAATGTCCGTTTTTAGCTTGCTTCAACAAAAGACTCGACCCATTAAAGGGTAAGGGGTACTGTTCGATAGAGCAAAGCAAGCTCTACAAGATGGCTTTCATGATTTTGCGCCAAGCTCGACCCATGGAAAGTTCGAACTCAAAATCTGAAAATATCCAAATGTCCAAAAAATTGA